TTTGGACCTTGGGAGAGAGTGGAGCCTCTCCAACTGCTTCACAATTATCATTTCCTTTCTGCTTTGTAATTTCAATTCCAGTATTTCTATTTTGTTGAAGTGTAATGAAGAAATGAGCTATGTGACTCTGTAATTTCCCTTTCATGCTTGTTACTGTTGTTAAGACTGAAGAGTGGTTGTTGTAATACTGTTTCTGGACAGATTATAATCAATATAGTTGCATTTCGTATTATTGTTCTATTTGTTTTAGTGTGATTGTTGGCTGGTCTGTATCAGAATATTACCAGATAATTGGTTTTCTTCCAAGGACAATCTTACTAGATTTTTGAGCTTTCCTATTGAATCTGGAATTGTTCCCTCAAGGAAATTCTCTTTCATAATAAAGTTAGTTAAGCCTATTAGTTGTCCAATTCCCTCAGGTATCGTTCCTGATATTTGATTACTAATCATTCTAAGCTCATTGAGATTGGTAGATAAGTTCCCTATAAAATTTGGCAACACCCCACCAAATCTATTGAAATCCAAAATAAGTATTTTCAACTGAGTACAATTGGTTAATGAGGAAAGGAAATCCAAATCGTGACCTTTTTCGCTCCCAAAACTATTATAAGCAATGTCAAACCTCTGGAGTTTGTTTAAGCTTCCTAATGTAGGAGGAATTGGCCCATTAAAACCATTTATGGATATATCAAGCCATAGCAATCCGGTGAGGTTGGATATTGAAGATGGGAAAGTTCCAGTGAACTGGTTCCCTCCAATCAAGAATGCTCTAAGTTTGGGAAAAGCAAGTTGTATATTTGATGGAAGAGTACCGAATAACTGGTTTGCCGCCAGAACAAACACTTGAATATTTGAGAGGTTGTAAAGAGAAGGAGGGACCATACCTGACAAACTATTTAAACCCAGATACAGCTCTTTCAAATTTGACAACCTACCCAAAGCATGAGGTATACTTCCTTCCAAATGGTTTCTTGAAAGTGATATATTCTGGAGTGAGGAAAGGTTTCCCAAGGAAGGTGGGATAGCACCAACTAGATTATTGGCACCAAGAAGCAACTGAGTAACCTGCGTCATTGATCCAAACCATGAGGGAACTTTTCCAGTGAGATTATTGTACTGTAAGATAATCACCTGAAGATTTGAGCAATTAGTAAGCTCGATGGGAACCTCACCACCGAGGTTATTTTTGCTCAAGTCAAGAACCTGCAACCGCTTTAAACGACAAACTTGTCTCGGAATTTCACCATGCAAGTTGATATTAGAAAGGTTGAGTTTCCTGAGGAAGGATAGATTCCCCAAGGCTGGTCCAAGAGTACCACCCCAATTTTGTTTCTCCAAATGCAGAACAGAGACTCTCATGTGGCGATGACCGCATCCAACACCCTCCCATTTACAGAAATGCAGAGACTCATTCCATGATGGTAGAGAATCAGGGATGCCATTGGTAAGCTTTTCTTTCAAAGCAAGCAAAGCTAGCTTATCAGAATCTGAACTCAAAGCAAGAGCAACTGTAGCTGGTGTCATGTACACCATTGTCTGTGAAACAATACTGAGAATAAACATGATTAGAGCCATCGTTTTGATATCGGCCAATGAGTGCATTATGCGTAAATGAAGTAGGATATATACAGGACCAAATATCTGTATTATATAGACTTTTTGTCAGCATTCTTAAAAACGTCTACAGTGAAAGCTAATACAGTCCCCACCCAAACACGAAACAAAATAGAGACTCCAACGTGGTACCTGAAGTCATGGATTATTTCAGAAACGTCTATGTGTGAAACCAGATTGGTGGAAAATGGACAGAACTGTGGAGAGGTCATTTTAATCCTTTAATTATTAATTAATTTCATTTACAATTTTGAATTTGTGTGCAATAAGCATCTTTAGGTGGAAACCGATGCGCTATCGAATGAACGACAGCATATGAATAGTTATAGAGAGGTTGAGACTAAAATTTGGGGGCAAAGACTCAAGTCTGCTACTATAGTACTATGCATTTTATAAAAATAATAAATAATTATAATTCTTATCATAATTTACTCAATAACTATGTTCAAATTTTAATAAATTGTAATTAATTTCTAGCAAATTATTTTGTCGCTATGAAATTAGAAAAAACTAAAAAAACTGTTAACCCAATCAACAAGCTAGAGAATTCTTTGGACCATGTCAAACCATTCGCTTGAATTGAGATTGAGACTTGACTTTATGGACGTAAATGTAATTTTAACAATGTTAAGTCGTTAACCCATTCATTTAAATGTGACACTTATTGGAAACAATTAATGTAATAGGAATACGATTCTTTGACACTCTCAAAGCTATTAGATCAATGTAGAATAACACTGTGATATATTTATAAATTAGAGTTATTAGATTAAAGCAAGATACACGACTCTTAAATAATATGTCAAATTTTTTATTTGATATTGTTGTCAAAAAAATTTATTTGACATCTTTATATATATATATATATATATATATATATATATATATATATATACGAGTCAGGATCATTTTACACCAGTGTAAGTTACACTCTTAATCTTGTTCGTTGATTTCATTTTTATCTAAGGGCTCAAATTTTTTAATGATGTGAATCATTAGATACAAATGAATCAATGGTTAAGATTGAATGTAAGATTTCTAACTCTTACACCGGTGTAAGAATATCCTACCCCTATATATATATATATATATATATATATATATATATATATATATATATATTGTTGTTTTTAGTGATCTAGTCTCATGAGCTTTTAGAAACTACACTATAGAATTAGAGACGCAAGACTTGATAATCATGAATAAAATTCATTAGTATAAATCTAAATAAAAAAATCTTAAATAGATAATTATTAAAATATAATAATAATTTTTAATTACTTTTTGGTATTGCATATTATTTATACTTTTCTTTTCTTTTCAAAAAATAAAGAGAATTATATTTACAAACTCTTACAAATTACACTATATTCTTTCAGGAGAATAGTAAATTATATTATATTCCTCCGAGAGTTCGTAATATAATTTACAAAAATTTATAAACCAATCCTTCCGATTTAAAAATCACTTTTAAAAAGTTGTAATGTGAAATGACACTGTAACTGTGTGGGTCCTGGATGGACTTGAGTTTCTTTTAGTTCAGACAGACTAACATTAAGGTGTTCATACCCAAAAAGCCCGCCTTTTAAGAGTAATGCCGTACAAAGAACGAGTCATGTAAAACTAAATGGGTCCTATTATATTTTATTATTTTTTCTCTCTTTTCATTATATACTTCCTATTTGAAATAATTATAACTTAATTAAAAAATAAATATTTTTAAACATATTGCAGAAAATACGACAGAGTTAATTTTGCAGATGGTGTACTTCCTATTTGAAATAACTATAAGCTAATTAAAAAAAATAATCATTTTTTAACATATTTCTGAAAATACGACGTAGTTAATTTTCGTACATGGTGTAGAATTTATTAATAATTGCGAAATTCACCAATTTCATGGCGTACGAAACCAGCTGAGTCATTATCACATATGCACAAGTCACAGATACCATAAAATAAAATTTCACTTTTTCAGTAATTTTATAATACACATATTTTCTTATTAAAAATTTAATAATATTTTAATTAAAATCTTAAACAAGGTTAGAGTTTATTAAAATTTGAATTTACTTAACAAAAAATATTTAATTAAAAACAAAAGACGATTATATTTATCATTATTTTAAGCTTATTCGTTAGATTAAATTGAAATTCATGACAATTAATTTTTTATGTTTTCTACCGTTAATTTTAAATTAATTCAACAATAATCAAACAGGAAGTAAAAATGGTAAGTTTTAAAATATTGGTAAGTATAAGATTTTCCAAAAACAAATTAAGTTTAACAGCTTAAGTTGCTGTTTTGTTTATTACTTTTAAAAAAGAATAGTTTCATTTAAAAACGCAATAAAAATTTTGTCTCTAGAAAAAAAATTAACCCTAAAATAAATTAATCCAAGCTTGCAAACCTATTAATTTCTAATTTAGAAAACCCGATTATCTTCGTTCAATTTGCTTCTAATGACTTTCTCCTTCCAAATTGAAAAATATTAAATCATGAACACAGATGGTAACCCTAAGTGTTTAACGCCACGCCATATTAGAGCTGCATTTCCAGCGCCGAATCAGAGTCATTATTCATTAACAAGCAAAAAAGAAGAATGCGGAAGAAAAAATGACACATTAACTTAGGTCAATTGTCATCCTTGAACTGAACCTTCATTGGTGAAGATGCACCATAATAGTAGCACGAAGCAGTGGGGAGCCGGGCTCAAATTTGAGTCCGGGCCAAAAAATAATATGTGTATTTTTTTTTTAATTTTAATTAATTCATATCATAATATATTTAAATTGGAGAAGGGTCCGTTTAAATTTTTTTTAAATTTTTTTACAAATTATAATATACTCCCGGAAGTACATAGTGTAACTTTTCTGAAAATAAATCGTGTAGTTTGTAAACAAAATGTTTGTAAATATAACTCTCCCTATTTAAATTATATTAAATACAGAGCACCTGAGCAGACAGTACCAAGAAGAATTATAATTTTATTATTATTTTTTTAATTTTACTAAATTCTTTTTTATACAAGTAGAAATTGAACACATAACCTAATACAATTTATCCAAATCTCTTACCAAAAATATTTTAAGTTTTAGGTAGGACCAAATTATAAATTATAGCTCGGGTCAAATTATAATTTTAACTCAAACTAAATAATAATTAATTATATAATTATATATAATAAGTATAATTTATTAAAATTTAGCCTGGATCGAGTTCACACCTAGGAGGTATGTGGCTCCGCCATTGGCACAAAGGTTTTAACTTTAAACTTGAAATCTCTTGAAACTTATATGTATTCTTTACTAATATGCCATTCATAATTACTCTAATGTTATTTATTTTTAGTAATCCATAGTACAATAAAAAAAAAAAAGGGAAAAAAATGGTTACAAAACAGTAGTGACCATTATTTGCAGTGTTTAAATGCAGCAGCCGTCAGCAAAACCATTTGTCTTGGCAATAGAACGACCAAATATTTCAGATATAAATTCAAGCCAAATTCATTTCTAGTACTAGACACTAATACAAAGGATAGCATCATAGGAACACATAAACAATTACTTTGAGCTTTTTTTATTCTTTTCTCTCCCTAATGTGCAAACAACAGTAATGTGCAGAAAATAAGTGTAGCTGAGAATCTCCAAGTGAAGGTTGGTAATTTCTCATCACAACAATGACAGCTTCTGTTTAATTGCATGCAACTCCACTATTACATCTTTCATGACCATTCGTTGAGCGGGGAAATCAGCAGAACATGCAACCCCAATCCTAGCAAAAGATACCAAACTCTCCTTAATGTTGTTGTCATCAGCAAATGGAATAAGCAAACATGAATCCACTATCTCAGTGATTCCTTCTGGAATTGCCATCTCGCAGAACTTGTGTAGGCTTAGATCCTCACCAAACATGCTATTTGTTGGTTTCATTCCAGTGAGCATCTCCAAAAGAAGAATTCCGTAGCTGTAGATATCTCCTTGTGGTGATATTGGGCCACCTGCACCATACTCTGTTCCAACCACAATTATTTAGACAAAAATGAAAAAAAAAATATATATCAAATACAAACATATTAAATATAAACGAATCAATTTTAGTCAAATGTATTTGAAGGGGTCGATTGTCACAGTCAAGGTTAAAAATTGAGCGTTAAAAAAAAAGCTAAAGACATTAAATTAGTAAAGTAGTCAGTAAACTACATCCTACCTACTTTAAATGACAACAAATTGTTTGTAATGAAACTCAAAGCAACAAGATAACTTTTCCTATTGTCGTCACAAGGCAATTAACAAGTATATGTAAAACATTTTAAAGGATAGTAAGGGATAGAATGGACTTTACCTGGGGGAACATATCCAATGGTTCCTTTAATTAGAGAGGAACTAACTTGATCTCCACCGGAATGCCCTGTGGCCCCATGAAGGAGTCTGGCTAACCCAAAGTCTCCCAAATGGGCAACAATGTCATCGTCAAGAAGAACATTGCTTGGCTTAATATCACAGTGAACTACAGCTTGCCCGAAATCATGGTGAAGATACTCCAATGCATGAGCTACATCAAGAGCAATGTTTAACCTATGTGTAAGGTTGAGTTTCATAGTTCTAGACTCGCTTTCTTCATTGCTGTGCAACAGCCTTTCAAGACTTCCATTAGGCATGAACTCAAAAACTATAGCCTTGAAATCTTCGCCATTATAATCAACACTCGAGCAGCAAGTCAGGATGTTGAGAAGATTTCGGTGCTTTATCTTTCCCAGAGATTGGCACTCAGCCATGAAACTCTTTGCTGCCCCACGTGTTTCAAGATTCAACACCTTAACAGCAACTGGTCTTTCAAAATGGAGAAGAGCTCCTCTGTACACAGAACCATAGCTTCCTGTGCCTATTAAATTGGATGAAGAAAATCCATTGGTTGCTTCATATAGCTCCCCATAAGAAACCCTCAAGTACCTGTTCTTCAGAGATGAAGAAGAAGATAACTTTTTGGGCTTTTTCCTTATATAGTATATTCTGATAAGAATTATGAAAACGGCCAAAACCCCACCAATTACAATTATGAGGATAACTTTCTTTTTAAGAAACTTCTTGTGTTTCTTTAAGGGCGACCTAGGGCATGCATGCAGCTTCAATTGAGGTATCCCACCACAAAGATCCTTATTTCCAATGAGTGAAAGCGCTATGAATATAATATCCCTAACCTAATTAATTAGTAAATTACAAGTAATTAAATAATTAAGCATGTTTTAGTGAGTAAAATTAAGTATAAGGCTTAATGAAATGAATCTGAGTCACTTTGGAGTTAAAAAGTGTACTCAGTGAAAATTAAGGAGTATAAATGGGTACTGGCAAAAGTGCCCAAAATATAAAAATAAAGTTGTAAATATTCCTAGAATAATATTCCAGACTTTTGGGTAAAGTTTGGTAATTAATGGAGTTGAATAGATAGACGAACCAATACCCGCTTAAAGCCACTTAACATAAGTTAAGTGACCAAAGCAACAAAAGAAACCCAATTGTCCCTCCCATTCCCGTCGCCAGAAAGAAGAAGAAGGAAGAGAAGAAGAGGGAGGAAAGGAAGAGAGGAAGAGAAACCCTAGGGGGAGCTAATCTCAACCATTTTGAGTGATTCCAAAGCCTAAACCACTCCAAATCTCCTCCTCTTTCATAATCCTTGCTTTGTTTTGAGTGGGGAGCATTGTGGAGAGGGATATTGCTCCTCAAAAATTTGGCCTTTTGGAGAAATTTGGGGTTTTGAGTGCTTCAACCTCCATTGAAGCTTGAGGAGCCATCAATCCTTGGTTGTGTGACCATTGGTGGTAAGATTCTAACCCTTGAACCTCATGATTCCTTGAAATTTGCATGAGTTGGGGTTATGAATAGTGTTTTAGGGTTTTGATGAAATGTTGTTAAAGTAGCTATGTTCTAGGAAGAATGGAGCTTAGTGCATGTTATAAGAAATGCTAGGAATGGCATTTAATCGGTGAAAATGAGCCTAGTTAGTTAAATGACTATACTTGGTATATTGCAAGATTATCATGCTTGTTGAAGAGTTTTCTTGCAATTATGACCAATGGGTTGGCTTGGTTGATTGATGATTGGATCCTTGTGATGTCTAGGATTGAGACATTTGGACCAACCGTGAGTGATCAACCATTGGAGCAAGCTATGGAGCTTGATTAGCTCCATTGGATAGGTGAGTTCATGCTTATGTTTGGTATGAATTGTATAGCTTGGATGATAGCTATGTGATGTTATTGGATGCAATATATGTTAATTGCATTAAACCTTGTGTAGGTTTTGTTTGAGAAGTGGAGTATTTTAATTGATTGACTGTGGAAACTGTTGGTGGTGAACAAAGGTCGACTGAAGCATTGAGGTAAGCCTTCGGACCTTGGGTGTAATTCCCTTGACTGTTCCACCAAGCCCTGAAAGGGTAGAGGTTGTGATTGTGTATATAAATGCAATAAAATAGTGTAATGCTTTGTTATACGTATGTGTATGCATTTGGTGTGGCATAGGATGGTGTTTCCCTATGTTGGTATGTTGCATGACGATGCGTAAATCATACTTGGTAGTTAGCTGGCCAGTAGGACTATTTGCATCTGAGTTTCCTTAGGACAGCTCGAGAGCTCGAGGGATTTCTCCTGGAGATGTATTGCACTTTGCATAGATATGTATTTACTGCATTATTATTGTTATTGCTATTACACTGATATAGAACTGTGGGGTGGAGAGATGCTCCAAGGACCCCTGGTTTACTGGATATATTCGTATATCTCACCCCGTGTTGTGGGGACCCCCTTTCAGGTAAGGATGCTGCAGGAGCCTCTGGTGGCAAGTGGCCATATCTGGATTATGCATGAAATGTGGCATTTCTTTTGAGATTGTACATGTTGTTTTGTAGCTCACATGTATAGGATTGTGATTCATAGACCATTGATAGATGTATGAATTGTATATTGGAATGGACTTAGCCTATGCTCATGCCTTTGGTCATCTCTTTTGTTGATGAGAGCCAAGGGAATGATCATAGTGTTTTGTTAGCTAAGTTCCATGAATTGTAATGAACATGATGTGTAATTGATGAGTACTTTGAGTTTAATATATGTATGTTCATTAAGTATTGGATTGTTGAACTGGAAACTAAATTAGGTACCTAGTGCTAAATTGGGAAATGTTGAGAAAACAAATACATCCTGTCCGTTTGACCAATTTTCATACCCAATGTGATGGAATTGGACTTTGATGTCTCTAGGGAAGTGGTAGACATTCCTCTTAGCTTTCCATAGAGACCAAAATGGTGTAATTTGAGTGAGTATAGCTCAAATTATGAGTGGAAAACCATAGGTAGGCTAAATGACCTTGTTTTGGGTCACCCAGCCCTGTGGATGGCGCCTGAGGCGCCAAATTCACGCTTGGGGCGCCAAATTACGAGATCAGACAGTAGCATCCACGCTTGGGGCGCCAGATTCACGCTTGGGGCGCCAACTTTCTGTTTTCCCACGCTCTGAGCGTGGATCTCACGCTGCGGGCGCGGGGGTTCTGGAGGTTTCGCACCCTTTTCTTAAAAAGTGCATAACTTTGGCTACGGTGCTCCGATTTGAGCGCGGTTTGAACCCACGCGTAGCTAATGAAAAATACTATAACATAGTAGAAGATGGGAATCATAAAAGGAGTTTAGAATTAATTTGATAAGTAAAGTGATGAAGACATTTCACGACGTATTGTCAAGTATAATGGGAATATAATCTTAAGTTTTGTCCCACTATTCCGCGAAGTATATATAGTTATGATCACGCACTTGGTTATTTGAATCCGGCTTGTATAAAGAGGAAAAATTTATCCGGTTTTCTAATTGAACCAATGTGATTGTAACTGCGCTTAATGCCGTACGCAATGATAACAACCCGGTTCTAGAACGGGGTGTTACAGTGACATTTTTGAAGACACCTCCTACGGGAACTTCACCATAAAGATGGTTAAAAGACAGGTCCAAAGCATTCAACAATCTTAGATTTTCTAGTTCACGGGGGATTGTGCTTGAGAAGTTGTTGTTAGAAAGGTCTAAGACTTCGAGGGATATTAAAGAGCCCAAGAAGGAAGGTATACTTCCACTGAAGAAGTTTCTCCCTAGCACGAGCTCAGCTAATGCCAAACAAGCACCAAGTTCCATGGGAATTTCACCGGACAACTTATTTGCGTTTAGATATAATGCTGAAAGGTGCTTGAAGTTTCCAAACTCTGAAGGAATAGAACCAGTGAAAGAGTTATTGTATAAGTAAAGATTTATTAAACCTTGTAGATGGCCAAATGTTTGATTTGGTATATCACCACTTAAGTTGTTGTCATAAACACTAAATGACTGCATTTGGGTGCAGTATCTGAGGGTAGGTGGAATGCTTCCTTCAAATTTATTGGCGCCTAGATAAACTTCTGATAACATAGTAAGATTGCCAATAATAGTAGGAATATTACCAGATAATTGGTTTTCTTCCAAGACCAATTCTACTAGATTTTTAAGCTTTCCTATTGAATTTGGAATTGTTCCCTCAAGGAAATTCCCTTTCACTGTAAAGCTAGTTAAGCCGATTAGTTGTCCAATTCCCTCAGGTATCATTCCAGATATTTGATTATTCACCATACTAAGCTTATTGAGAGTGGTAGATAAGTTGCCAATAAGATATGGCAACACACCACCAAATTTATTGGAATCCAAAAAAAGTAATTGCAACTGAGTACAATTGGCTAATGAGGAAAGGAAATCCAAATCGTGACCTCTTCCGCTCCCAAAGTTATTGCTATCAATGCCAAACCACTGAAGTTTGTTTAAGTTTCCCAATGTGTTACGAATTGGCCCATGAAAAGCATTGTAGGATATATCAAACTTTTGTAACCCGGTAAGGTTGGATATTGAAGACGGGAAAGTTCCAGTGAACTGGTTCCCTCCAATCAAAAATCCTCTAAGATTTGGAAAAGCAAGTTGTATATTTGATGGAAGAGTACCGAATAAATGGTTCTCCGCCATAACAAAATGTTGAATATTTGAAAGGTTGTAAAGAGAAGGAGGGACCATACCTGAGAAACTATTTAAACTTAGTTCCAGCCCATTCAAATTTGACAACCTGCCCAAAGCATGAGGTATACTTCCTTCCAAATGGTTTCGTGAAAGAAATATACTCTGGAGTGATGAAAGGTTTCCCAAGGAAGGTGGGATAGCACCAACTAGATTATTAATACCAAGAAGCAACTGAGTAAGCTGCGTCATTGATCCAAACCATGAGGGAACTTTTCCAGTGAGGTTATTGTACGACAAGATTATTACATGAAGATTTGAGCAATTAGTAAGCTCGATGGGAACCTCACCACCAAGGTTATTTTTGCTCAAGTCAAGAACCTGCAACCTCTTTAAACAACCAACTTGTTTGGGAATTCCACCATGCAAGTTGATATTAGAAAGGTTGAGTTTCCTGAGGAAGGTTAGATTCCCCAAAGCTGGTCCAAGTGTACCACCCCAATCTTGATTCTCCAAATGCAAAGCATAGACTCTCATGTGGCGATGGCCGCATCTAACACCCTGCCATTCACAGAAATGCAGAGACTCATTCCAAGATGGCAGAGAATCAGGGATGCCATTGGTAAGCTTTTCCTTTAAAGCAAGCAAAGCTAGCTTATCAGTCTCTGAACTCAAAGCTATAGCAACTGTAATTGGGGTCATGTACATCAAGGTTTGTGAAACAATTATAAGAAGAAACGTGATAAGAGGCACCATTTTGGTATTGGCCGATGAGTGGATTATGTGCAAATGAAGTAGTATATATATAGAAACTCTATACTACTTATCGAAGCACCAAACGTCTTTCTCTTACTTTTTATTGGATCCTTAAAGTCGTCTAAAATGAAAGCTAATACAATAGGAAAATGTCACTTGCACATTTTGCATATTTGGTTAGTCTCACATGAACCACATAATTTGAGGTAAAAATAAAATATAAATTTAGACAGAAAAAAGAAGGCAAAAATATACGATGGTTACCGTATTGAAAATATATTTATCTTACTGTATCCAAAAAAAAAAAAAAAAATTTTTTTATCTTACAATAGAAAACATTCAACATTTTGAAGCAACTACTTGAATTTTTTGGGTTTAAATTTTTTTAAGCTTTTTATGACTTACAAAGGTCATTCTCTGTTTTTCTATACTGATTAAGTTAAAATCGGTTATCACATTACTTGCATGGGTTGATTAACCTTTTTTTATTTTCAAAAAATGGAAATCTGATAATTTATAATAAAACTTAAATTAAAAAAAAATGATTCTAAGTAAATAATGTTAACAAATTAGATATTATTATGTTTATTAACAAATAATTATAAGAAATATGACGAAAGGTTTTTGTTTAACTTATGTTTGAAGTAGTCGATTTAGAAGCTTACAAAAATTTAAGAACTTGTCATTCGGATTTAAAAGTATTACAAAATAAGATAAGTTTAAATTTGTTTATGTAACTTTTTATAAAAAAAATCTTTGTAATTCAATTTTAGGATGTTTGCGTGACTCGTGTGTGGCTATATTGATTCCTTCGCCAAACTTTGATTTTTCACACGCAAAATAAAGACCGCCATGTGACTCGAAGTAGGGTTGGCAAAATGGATCAACGCAGATATAATTAAAAAAAATGAGTTGAGTTAGAGTTGGCTCGAAAAAAAATAAATCAGAAAACTCAACCCAACCTGATCTGAGTCGGGTTAGGGTTGGCTCGCAGCTTAGCTCAAAAATATGGCTCGTGGATTGGCTTAAAAAAATAGCTCACGAGTTGCATCGAAAATTGGCTCGCGGGTGGGGTCGAAAATTGCTCTCAAATTGGCTCATTTTCAGCCTATTTGTAGTATTAATTCACCAGCTATGTGACTTCTGTTAGCTTAAATAAAGGAGTACAAAATGAGAAAAAAAATATATTCTAGTTTTGAATTTTCTTCATAACAAATTTGCACCAACATCAAGAAACAATCGGAACCACTTGCTACCAGATGGTAAGATATTTGAACTAAAGAGAGCCAACGTAGCCTAACAATATAAAAATGGCAGAGATGTGAGAAGATTAAAGACTTAGATTTAGAGAAGAAAAAAGACGATAACAGCATGTGTGGATTTTGTCTATTTTTATATATTATATTTTGTATTTTTTTATAAAAAAAACTTAACTCGCGAGCTGACCCATTTAACCCGCGGGTTGACTCATTTTTTCTGGAACTGGCTCAAATTGATAACTCATTTTTTTTCAACTCAACCCAACTGATTTTTAACATATTACAATCCAACCCGACGGATTGGCTGGTTTTTAGCAACACTAACCGGAAGTCAAGCAATAAGGACGCGCTTAATATTGAAAGTGCCCCGTGAACAATTGTAGAAAAGTTGAGACTAAAATGTTGGGGACCAAGACTCTCCATCAGTCACTATCGTACCCAGCATTTAAAAAGAAAAATATTGAATAGTCACAATTCTTTTTATTGGAATTTATTAAAATGAATTATTATTATTATTATTATTATTATTATTATTATTATTATTGTTGTTGTTGTTTCTTAGGTAAATCGATAAATTTATTATTTTACTTTATTCAATAACTATGCTTGAATTTTAATAAATTATTATTAAATTCTAGCAAATTATCTTATCAGTATGACATTAGAAAAATCCAAAAAAAAGTGTTAAACTGGTACCCCTAAAAAAGTGTTAACCCAATGAACAAGTTAGACTAGAGAATACATTAGGCCATATCCAACCATTTGATTGACTTGAGATTTGAGACTTGACTTTAAGGACGTAAATGTAATTTAAACAATGTTAAGTTGTTAATCCATTCATTTAAATGTGATATGTATAGGAAACAATTAATGCTCTAAATTTTAGCCTATTATGCTCTAAATTTTAAGTATCCTTATTAAATATAGATGAAAAAAAAAACATTTTTATTATTTTCTTTGTAGCCCTATGTTCACTTAGGCTGGCTGTTTGGGACCATACTTAGAGGAGAAGACGAAGAATTGATAATTATGAATAAAAGTTCAATAATATAAATCTTTAAAAGTTAAGCTTTTAATTAGATAATTATGGAAAATATAATAATTTAATTTTAATTGTTTTTTTGTTACTGCATACTTTTGAATTTTTTTCTTTCAAAATTCAGTTTTAAAAATGTTGAAATGTGAAAAGATACATGACTCTATGGAGTTCTGGATTTAATTGACTCAGTTCAGATTAGGGGTGGCAAAACGGGTCGGGTCGTCCCGACTCACTGCCAATCCGCCAAAAGTGGGTTGACCCGCCCCGTCTCGTCTTTTGAATTTGGGTTGAAAACCTCAATCCGTCCCGTTTTATGGTGGGTTAGCGGGTCAACCTGCTTAAAAAATAAAAAATAATAAAAAATAAAAAATAAATTATATTTTATTAATATTATAATATTACTTATTTTCATATCACATTCTTCTTAGTTTTTTTTCAATCTTAAGTCTAAATGTTTGCTAATATTTAGTCAGATATTCTTTACAAACTTGTTTTTATCTCCATACATCAATTACCTTTGTCATAAATAAAGTTTTTCTTCTATATTTTTTCTAGAGAGTACTAAGATAACAAAAAATTGGATATCACAAAAGCTTAAAAACAAATAAAACACTATCTAATAGTAAAAAAAAAAATGACCCGACGGGCCAACCCGACCCGCCGTCAACCCATTTTGACCCATAACCCAATAGGGCGGGTTGAGTCGGGTTGGTGGGTTAAAATATGTAACCCAACCCGCCCCGTTTTGGCGGGTTGGCGGGGTTGACCCGTCGGGTTCAACCCATATTGCGAAACCCTAGTTCAGACAAACTTGTTCTCTTGTTGTCCACTTCAGACTTAAAGTTCAAACAAGAGACTTAAACTCCACTTTCAGAGGAAAATTGTACACACATATGGTCAATTAAGATAAGATAGCTGGACTCCACAACTCAGCTCAATTGCTTGCTACCCGTCCCCAACAATAAGTCATTCTCACCTATTGTTGTTAAAAACTAGTGTAAAAACGTAAAAACTTACGTTTTTACATTTTTACTAGAGTGGTGCGTGTTAAAACTCAAGTAAAAACTGTCATTGGTAAAAATTGGTAGAAATGCTGTAAAAACTTACGTTTTGACTGTTTTTACTTAAAACTAAAAATTTAATAAAAAAAAAGATTTACAAAAAAAAAACCTAATTTTTCGTTTTTCTCAAATCATATTCTCTTAATATCTTTTTATTTGGATATATGTTTTTTATAATTATGTCTTATAAAACTGCAATTCTATTATAAGTTATGCTATGAGAATCGTTTTGTGTTTTTGGATCATTGTATGTATTGAAAGAAGTGAAATTATATCCTGATGACTGATGAGCGATGATCCAAAATATGCTGAGTGTATAAAGCAGTTAGAGCAGATTGGTTATTCATTACTTGTTAGTTATCACTGTTTATAATTTTGATACTTGGTTATGAAAAATAATTTTTCTTTTTAGATAGATAAGTGGCTCAATACACATGTTCATCATGTAATATTTTTTTTTACATGCATATATATAATTTTGTATCTTGACCTTAAGTGGTAGAAAATAGAAACTTTACGTTTCGTGTCGTTTCTACGTTTTTACGTTTCTACCACCCCTTTCCATTTCTACGTAGAAACTCGAGTTTGACAACATTGTTCTCACCGATGTTGTAAAAATCGAATTTGTTAGTAGAAACGAAACGAAAACCGATGATAAAAATGTAAATGTAAAGTTTATATTATTTAAGATAAAGATATAATATATATATATATATATATATATATATATATATATATATATCGTATAAATTATTACTCAAAATTCAATGAACAATTTCATATTTAAAAGATATAAGTCACATAATTATATAACATATAAGTCCAAAAACATAAAAAAAGAGTATAACAACTCCTACAATTAAGTTTCAAAACATCAAAAGAATAAAGTTTAATAACTTCTAGATTATATTGATTCAAATCAAACACATCATTTTGCATCAGTTGCGCGTGTCCTTAATGCCCTTTTCCCTTGATTCAAAATCAACGTTAACTTGGTGCTCAAACTTTTCACCAATGGCTTCACCCTTTTCTTTGTTTGCAATAGCGACTTCACGCGAGGTTTTTTTTTTTTCAGATGACTAGAAGAAGATACTATACATTTTGATTTAGAGAAAATGGAAATTGGGTTTTTTATTTTATTTTATTTTTAAAAAAAAAAGAAAATTTAGTCATGGGTTAAAAATTGACCCGATTCATTTATTTTATTTTTTGGTATAAGACCCAGTTCAGTTTTTCCGTTTAAGTAAAAATCTAAAAACTTGCATTTTTATCATTTATACGTTTTTACACAGAATTTTTATCAGTTTTTGCTAAGAGGAGTTTTTACTTTCATTTTAACACGTATCATTTAAGTAAAAACATAAATTTTTACGTTTTTACTGTTCGCATAATATTTGGCTAAAAAAGTCAATCAATAGTATAATTTTGATCACTGTTCCGTCATGTACACGATTGTTTGCGAAACAATACTGAGAATAAACATGATTAGAGACATCATTTTGATATTGGCCAATGAGTGCATTATGCGTAAATGAAGTAGGATATATACAGGACCAAATATCTGTATTATATAGACTTTTTGTCAGCATTCTTAAAAACGTCTACAGTGAAAGCTAATACAGTCCCCACCCAAACACGCAACAAAA